GTCTCCAGATTTTTGTCGATTATGCGAATGTGCCGACTACGGATAGCTTACCCCCTGAAGGCACAGAGCGATCGCGAATGGACGGTTGGGTCCATGGGTTGGGTCATGGATTACGTGGTCCCGAGTACCAACCGGTACCATCCTGACATTGCAGGGGTGTTCCCTAGCGATATCAAGGCGGGTACTGTGACAATTCCAGGCTCCGGTAACGATCCTTTCGCGCTTACTAGCGTTGATGACGTGGCTAAGGCAGTTGTCGAATTGCTCAAGAGCTTCACTACCGGTAAGTGGCGCCACACCTATCAGGGCATGGGAAAAATAGTATAATAACAATATTACGGGTATTATATTTACGGAATAACTTACTATTGATTTTTCCAAGATAAATATAATACATAACTGTACACAATAATACAATATTTTACACGCTTCCAACCATTTCCAGGAGCGCTGACAACCAACAGTTCTCTACTGCCTTGCAAATACACTCTGCGCGCTTTGATTCACACACTCCCCACTTCTCATTTTTCTCTTTAGAGAACAAGCCACCACTCTTAGCCACGCTACCCACCACGCTACCCACGATGACCTCCCGTCAACTCTGCGCATTTTACTTCAGCAACCTCGGTGAAGGTCGCTTTGAGTGTAAATCCTGTGGGCTTCCTCGGAAGCAGACGCCCGGCACGGGGTACAGCAACCTCCTCAGCCACCTTAACAGCAAGCACGCTGGGTATGCTGCTGGGTTTGCAGAACTTCATGCCACGCAGACGCCAGCACTTACCACGTTTGGTTTTGTGGACGATGTGACGCGCAATATCTACCAATGGATGGTATGGGTGATCGAGAGAAATCTACCAATCACTGAAGTGGAAAACAAGGCTACGCGTGCTGTAGTTACAATGAAGCCTACGACTACCAAGACACTGAAGCGGTACATGCGTCATGTGGCTCTAGCCGTTGGAGCAATCATTGCAAAGGAGATGGGAACTTCCTTTGCTTTAATGTTCGACGGCTGGACTAGTCACTCACTTCACTTCCTCGGCATCTACGCGATCTACGTCTACAATGGTGTGCGCCACCAGCGCCTTCTTGCGCTTTCGCCAATGGAAGACGGCCAGACAGCTGAAGCCCACCTGGATCATATATCCACCGTACTGAGCGTGTACGAGAAGAACCTGCAGATGGTGCGCTATGTTGTGTGGAACAATTGTGCAACCAATCAGAGTATGGCTACACGAATGGGCGTCCCCCTCATTGGCTGTGCAAGTTATCGATTTAACCTCGCGGTTAATCGATTTCTACAGGATTATCAGACTCAGATAGATCTGATTCAAAACCTGATGATTCAGCTGCGTCATGTCAAAAATGCTACTGCACTGGCAAAGGCGACCAACTACAAGCCTGTTAAGGCAAACACTACGCGCTGGTCGTCTACATTCCAGATGATTGACCGATATTGCAAGATCCGTGATGCGATCCTGACGGTGGAGGCTGTTGAAGAGTTTGTGCCTCGTGGAGATGCGCACCGCCGCGTTAGAGGTGTATTGGACAAGCTTCGTGAGCTGGACAGTGTGTGTGTAAAAATCCAAGCGGAGTCATGCACGCTTGCCGAGGTGCGCCTGTTGTTTGATGCGTGTGCTGCTAAGTATCCTGTCATGGCTAACTACTTAGCGCCAACAGCTGAGATTGTTCACTCGCCCCATTTCGAGTCTGCAATAGTGAAGCTGCAAAACGACCTACCCCTCTCCGCGGATGAATTACATGCAGTCGACAGTTTTATTTTATCTCCGTCTACCGCACAAGAGGAAGTGCCGACTGCGGCGGACTTCGCGACCTCCATCCTCCGGCAAGCCAAGAAGCCGCGGCTTGCATCGCAGGCGTCTGTCGAGTATGATCCTCTCCTGCTCTGCGCTCCTCCGACAAGCAACACGTGCGAGAGACTTTTCTCTGAGTGTAAGCTTGTTTTTACATCGCTACGTTCATCTACTTTACCAGCTAATTTTGAAACGGCCATGTTTCTTCGTGCTAATCGCCGTATGTGGAACTGCTCCACCCTTCTCGGTTGCATCGAAGACTAAGTGATAGCAATATATTGTGATTATTGCAGTGATTATTATTGTGTTGCCAGGTATTGCAGTCTTTATTACGGATGTGATTCACGCAAAATACCACTGGGTATTGTATTTCCCATGCCCTGACACCTATGCCCAAGGCGAAGAGACGATATGGCTAACCGTAGTTTAATACATGCGTGCACTTAGCTAACAGAACCTCAGATTTATCGGGATATCCATAGGGTGTTGAAATTGAGATTTGCTCTAATCGTCCGTGCTTACCACAATCGGTATGACTTCAAGTATAACACATTAAGCACAACTGTTTAATTACAGTTTGTTCCCATTTTCCATTCGACAGTCTGGGCCGTGGAAAACTTCAGTACTGGAAGCTCGAACCAGTGAATGTATCGTTGAGTTTTTTTCGCCACTTAAAAAAAAACTGATCCCATTCAGCCGCGTATTACTACTAGTATTAAAGTACATGCAGTTTCGAGCTGTTTGTGTAACTCCAATATTAAAACGGACGTATTGGGCACGGCAGTTTATATGAATCTATCACCTCACTCTTTCTTTCACTTTATTTTTGTAAAAAGTTTCTTGAATTTATGCTGGACAATTTCCTCATGTCCTGTCAATTCTCCTAACACAACGTAGGTTTGCAAACGAATGTCGGCGAATCTTGCAGCAAACATTTGGTTCTTTCATTTGTCCTGCGATTGGGATTTTAAGAACAATAAAATAGTTGGCTTTGCAATCTTTACATTCTCTGTGATAATTGCTGCTTACATTGTGGGTGATAAACTACGGAGCGCCAGTGTAGAAACGAAACCTAATTTTTAGTACAATTTGACTCAGAAGACGGTAGTCAATGTAATTAATTATAAAGGTATTCTGGAGGTCGCACCCCCCAGACCCCGCATTAGAAAAAAAAAATGTACTGGAGAGTGCAATGGGTTCGTTTGCTGGACCTCGTCGCTGGGCCGGCCTTCGCAAATACCGAGCGGCCCTGCTTCGCCGGCACCCCCTTCGGGTTTGTTTAGCTACGCCCCTTACACCCACTCACTACCGTCTTCTGAGTCAAATTGTACAAGAAATTAGGCTTCGTTTCTGCACCGGCGCTCCGTAGATTATTCCTCAAATTGATCTTAAAAAAAATATTTCCGCTATCCGGCTTCTTAGATATATATTCACTACGCCCTTAAGCACGTTGCAGAGGGACCAATATAGTCTCTTACCGGCTCAACTTCACTTACGATAAGGTTTTTCCTTACTTGGAGAAACTCAAATTGAAAATGACAGTGAATTCCTTTATTTCTTTGATAAAGCAGTGACACGATGTGGGTAATACTATCTATCCATCTCTAAAGTGCAAAACCAACGATTTAGAGCATTTACAGCTAGGAAAATTAACTGTGAGCGTGTCCTAAAAGAATGGTACCTACGGCTGGGCCATGTAGGTTAGGACCGCCTTTTGAAGATAATCAACAATCAGAAATGAGAAGGTATACAAAAGCTGTCAAATTCTGAATTGAATAAGGTGCAGGTTTTCTATAAATATGTTGCCAGATGAAGCATAGATGAATGCCATATAAAGGTATGGTGGGAGCTAATGCAACAATACCTCTACAGATACTTTATGTGGACAGCATAGGAAAGCTAATGGTCAATGATCTGTATGGAAACTAAGGATACTTGTTTTGCTGAGTAATAGGCACTTCGAGAAAATATATTTTGGATTGGCTATCGTATGCAACTTCGCTAAGTGTTAGGTGTACCTTTTTACCTAATTGATTTAGAGCTGCTGTCTCTATTGATCCAATTAGAGAGCTATCCAATATGGTTCCATTACCGTAAACGAATTGCTGGTTTGAGCTTGAGCGAAGTCCAACAAACCATCTTCTATCCGACGTTATGACATAGCCAGCCATTGTGTCAATAACCCATACACCATCTGTGGCTCTAACTTTCGTAGCGATCGTAGGTAGCGAGCATCAGTTTGCCTACCTCCTCGTCGAAGTCATTCATTCCGTCCTAATGCCTTGGTGGTGAGCTTGTCTCGTCTGAAACATCACCAGGGTAGATAAGGTTCGCCACGTCTTCAACCTCTGTTAGCTCACCATTGGCAATGCTGCTCTCCAACAGTGTTTGTCCTGTCGTTGGAGTTGGGCTCTTCTTTTTCGTGACAGTCAGGGACTTCTTGACCTTCACGTAGTTGGTCTTCTTTACCTTCTTTCGAGCGACCGCCCCAACCATGACATCCATTCGTTGGCCCCCCCCCCCCTCCGGGCGATTTGGGTTCCTGTCGGTTTTCATTAGTAGTAGGTAGACCGTCCCACGTCAAAACGGTAAAACTAGCTCCAACAAGCTCAATACATCACCAAACCGCACCAGAATTTTACTGTTGCAGAACTCGAGCTGGTTGAGTGGCTCGGCAGCTCCTAGCGAGCCCTACTGGGTGCACGGATGTCGCTGTTAACGCATTCTACAGCACGCGCTACATTTCGGCTCTAGCTTCAGTAACTCACGACCGCTTCTACGTGTTTACTGACCACGGGGATTCGTTCAGCCTAATGATTGGCTATGGATACCGAGCATTCGGGCACAGCTCGCTGGTACTCTCCTCGTGACGGAAAATACTACGCCCACTCGATCGTGAACACTCCAGCTAGCGTGACGCGTGTGGACTTTAGCCCTTCATCGCGTGGCAACGTCGACAACAATTGGCTTCTGGTTGTTGCGTGTTAATTGGCCTTTGGAAAAGTGTAAGCTGGAAGTGATATTTTTTTATCTTACGGCGAAGATTTTGCACGAGAAGATATTTTCACTGAAATTCTCAGTCATTACGTGTAGCACAAATAACACAAATTCACAAATCATACTACTAGCGTTAATAGTATTTGCAGTGACACATTCGTGGCTAAGGCACGAAAATGGTGCGATTTTCTACGCCGTGACAGCAGATTTTGTGTTGGCATTAAACTCGCGCAGACGATCAAGATACGTCATAGCAGCCCCGTGACACCACGATTTGAGCTGGAAAGTGCCCTCGTAGAAGGCGCAGTGGCTGCCTTCGGGGGTAGTTATCAGCATAGCGTTAGGTTTCCTGCTGAACTCGTGGTACGGAATATTCTCCTTGGTGCACACGGGGTCGTCCAGTGCGTTAATGCAGAGAAATGGCACCTTGAGGTTGTCCACATCTCGCATGGGGTTGTTGATCTTCCAGTAGGCTTCCAAGTCTTCATAGCCGTGCATCCTCATGTACACGTGCTGGTCGAACTCGCAGATACTCGTGGCTTTCAGAGCTTGTGCCACGTCCACGACCTCACTCAACTCGTTCTTGTGGCGAAGTAAAAACGATTTGAGTGTAAACGTCATGAGAAAATTGTACAATGGGTTGATCTTGCCACCGCAAAACAGGTCGAAGGCGTTGTAACCGGGCGAGATCAACACGCCAGCACGGAGACGCGACTTGTCGCCGAGTTCGCTCAGATAGCTGCATAGTAAGCCCGAGCCAGCAGAGCAGCCAATGCCGTATAGTTCGCTGTTTGGGAAGATCTTTTCCACATGAGCGATGGCTTGTTGCAAGTCCTGCACACACCCGAAAGCCTGGAGCTTCGGAGTGGCCAGTTTTAAGCCTCCGTGGCCTCGTTTGTTGAACACTACGGGGCGATATCCGTGGACCAGGGCCTCGGCACAAAGAGAGCGCATGCTCTCGCTGCAACCCACAAGTCCGTGCATGATAATAGCGATGGGGGAGTCGTCTTTCAGTGGGGATGTCGTTGCCACGGAAGACTCCACAGCCCAATCCAGAGAAGCTTGGCCGCCGTCCTGGAAGGTGAGCACGTCTCTCTTGTAGTTGACGGGGCTCTGAGGCACCAGAAACGTCAGGAAGCACTGGATGTGGGAATTCGTCCACCACGTCGGCGTGTAGCGGTCCAGGAGAGGCTGCAGCGCCTGCAAGCCACAAATAAGATTTGAAATATGGTGGAAAACGGCAACAGTTGCCATTTTGTTTCACTTACTCCGGTCATGAACGCGTTGAGCTCCGAGTCGCCGGCGATGATGCGCTTGGACGTGACGGCGCGAGAGCTCACAACACCTCGAGCCATTAGTAAGGCACAGCTAGAGACTACTGCGGCAACAATTATCAAGCCCCTAGACGAATGACACGCATTCAGTCAATCAGCTATTTATGTCAAGGGGAAACTCAAACGAAGTTGCAAAAAGGTTGCAACTTGAGGAATTGGCCGCCTGGCAAGAAAGCCTTAATGACAGGGTTGTGATACTCACTCATTCGAAATCGTCGTGGATGGCATAGTGCTCATCATGCTGCTTGCTTGTTCTACTGCAGCGCGTGTTGTGCCCTACCGTGCGGATGCGGAGTCCAATGGATCCGGTCGTTTTTATTAGGAATCAGATATCGAGTATAGTGAGTTTAAAACAAAAAGACAAAATATTGCCTTAGACTCAGATTCGGGTGGATCCATTGATGCTAAACTCTCGAGGATTCCGGGTGTAACGTTACGGTTTAATATGCACGTGGATACCCGTCGCGACTACCGGTACATAATACATGTAATGTAATAAGCCATTGGCACTGTATTTTTAAATATAATAAATTTAATATTCTGAATGTAAATACATGCCTCGCACAGTTTGAAAATTATAAACTGCGAGGCCGGCAAATATTGACATTTGAGCGTGTCATAACGAAGGGGACCACATTTAGAGATGGCCGTACAATCTAATGCAGCCTTGATTGATGATGACGCTGTGGTTTCTGTGCCTTTCTTAAATAAGCTTTGGCAATCATTTCAAGGTATGTTTCTCACCAAGCGTAATTTTCAGGATTGCAGATGAATACCAAGATTGAACTCATCAAAATCTAAAAGAACACATTATTGTCAAAATAAAGTACATACCTATTTTACAAGACAGCAAATTTGCTGTATCTATTTACCATACGAAGCAGTCCTGTGGCTGGAAGAGCGACGCCGGACGGTATCGTTGTGGGCGTCGCATCACGTAGTAAGGCATGCGAATCTGCAGAGTGCCGTCCTCGAAGATCTGCTGTGTGGCCTCCTCCATGTTGAGCATATTGTGCGGGAACTGCTCGGCGATTTCAAATCGCCCGAAGGTGGGTGTGCCGCTAAGACGTGACATCACAATGTCTTTTTGTGTAGGCAGACGGAAGCCAGTGATGCGCAGTACGCCATTGTGTTCGCTCCACTGCACACGAACGTTACGTGGGTCGATGTTGCTTAGACGCGCCATGAGGTAGATGCCGTCCTGTCGACGCTGTAGCTGGTAGTATGGCCGCCACACAGGCAGAGAGTTGACGTTGATGTCCTCAGTTTGAAAACTCACAGCTGGTTGGGGACGCAGCGACTTCTTCGGAGGAGCAACTTCCTCTTCGTCTTCAACTTCATCATCTGCCTCCGGCTCGATAGGCTCCATCTCCTCGTCTTCCTTAGCGTCAACTGGTTGTTCCATATCTTCTTCCTTATCCTCTTCTTCTTCAGGCTCCGGGTCACTCTCTTCTTCCTCGCTCTCTTCAAACAGACTCTTCACGTGCATATCATCAGACTCAGCGTCACTGTCTGTAGGCGTCGAAGGCGCTGGCACGAGACCGTCTAAGCCACTGAGTGCGAGCTCTCCGAACTGTTTGAGCTTGGCACTGCGCTCCTTGAAGGCGTCGGCCTGAAGAAGCAGCTGCTGAATGACCACCACCAGTGCCTTGCGTGCGCTCTTGATGTCGGCTTCTCCGTAGCTCAGAACGCCGTCCAAGTCGATTAGGTAGCGAGTGAGGAGCTCTGCCTGCTCCTTGACGCGGTAGTCGAAAGCTCCGAGCTCCAAGCGCATCTTCTTGACGACAGCAGCGGCGTCTTGCGGCTTGAACGTCTGTAGTCGCCACTTGGTACCGCACACCAGGGCGACAATGTGTCTGTACTGCGCTAGCAATCGCGTGTTGAGTTTGTGCTCCACGTCCTTGACCTTCTGCTCGATGGTCTGTAGGCGGTTCTTATCGTGGGATGTCTGGGCCTCCATTGTTGTCTCGAGTGTAGGCTCTTAGTAGCTGTGAGTATGTGGCAATTGTTGTATGACTTGCTTGTCAGTTGGCAGATTGAATAATGAGCGACGTTGAAGCGAGTCTGGGGTAGAAGTTATCGCACGTTCGAGAGTGAGTCGCGAATATTCGAGAGCATACTGAGGACAAGTGATTCGCAATCAAATCGCAATTAGTGTGAAAACATTTGGCAATTGGCCCAAATATTAATTTTATGGACTGGATCTTAATTTCGGGAATCCTATCATAGACTCTTCCCGAATTTAGTGTTTTGATGGGACGTATTCTCATTCTGATTAGTCGATAAACCGAACAGCCTGGAGGGTTGTCCGTACGTCCAAAAGAAAGAAGGTTTTAACATACTAGGGCTTCGCGAAGACTGGGATAGAAAAGTATCGAGCATATTTTTATAAAGTTCTGTCAATCATTTTTTCTTTTCTATCATTACCGGCTCGTACCGGGTTACGGACAAACGGAATGTGCGTTGCTTTCCTATTTAAGTATAAATTGCACAGTATCCACAGAGTAGTTGCTACTGACTTCGGGTCTAATAAGACATTGTGTTGTGGTCAAATTAGGATTTCTCTCACTTCTTAAATCGCCTAAGAGAAATGGGGGAGATTACTTTGCTTTGGCGGTCGTCGGGAGAGCCACATTCCCTGTGGTCATGAATACGAGCGAGATGGCTGGTCACTTAAAAACTGCACTTAAAGCGAAATACCCGGACACATTCCAGTGTGATGCGACGGATTTGCGGGTCTTCCTGGTCAAAGACGAAATTGCATTGGGGCTGCTGGGCGAAAAAGACCCCAAATCGATTAAGGAAATTCATGGAGAAGAGATACTGGAGACCAGGGATGCCGAAAAATACATTGATTGCCCGTACAATACAATAACAACCCTGAAATTATTTTTTTTCGGACCTTAAGGCTGACCATAAATAATTTACCTAATCTTGTGGATGAATACCTTAATTTACTGTTAACTTAGGAAATCGCAGATAGATGGCTATCAAGAGCCTACCTTCTTCCGTCTAACGTACACTAACTTTGCTATCTGCATCATGGCCACCCAAGCCTTTTCCAACACTCGAATTTCTGGTTTCTTCTTTTCAGCCGTCACGGATGCATTCTAAGAAACTATTGAGGGTCTCTATCGGTGCCGGTGTGGTACCGTTCGTCGACAAGCACCCCGAAGTGGGTACACCAACCTCATCCAGCACGTACGTAGCCAGCACCCTGACTACGTGGACGTGATGCGCGAGGCGGACACCGGTCGCGGCACCCTGGAACCATGAATTCGTCAGCGTGCAAGGGACCTACACGGGTGGCTAGACTGGATAATATCCGGCAACCTACCGCTCCGTTTCTGTGAGAACGCTGGGGCGAGATGGTATGATACTTTGTCTTTTCTGCTATATCGTTTTCACGACTAATCAATTGTGTGTAGCTACACTAGCCTATCTCCTGTTTCTGTCGAGACATTGCGCGGGGTCATGGAAGGGGTAACGCTGGCAGTAGAGGCCAAGATTAAGGACGAGATGCCTAACCAGTTTGGTCTCGTCATCGACGGATGGTCGCACGACTCCGAGCACTTCGTAGCAGTTTTTGCCTGCTACGAAGTGGACGAAGTCGCGAAATACCCACTACTGTCCATGGCCCCTCTGATCAACGAACCGGACGATGACCATGGTGCTCGCACGCACGAAGTATTCCTAGCTACAATGCTAGAGCGAGACTACGGTAAGCAAGTGAGCAACTGTCTCTTTATTGCTGGAGATAATTGCCAGGTGAACAAGCGATTGGCAACTAGCATGGGTGTTCCGCTGATCGGATGTGCGAGCCACCGCCTGAATTTAGCGATGCAGGCGTACTTGAGGACCTACGAGGACGATTTAGCGCAGATACAAGATCTCATGCGTAAAATGAAGACGCTGAACCTCTCCGCAGCCCTATGGTAAAAAAAAAAAATTTTTGCCCTTTAATTATTTTATTTTATGCACATTAGTTTTAAAACGCCTCTCCGGCCAATTCTTCGCCAAGACACACGATGGGGCTCGGCATACCGAATGGTGGAGCGCTACTTATGACTGGCTGAGTTCCTTCCTGAGGATGACGACGAGATCGCGGATCTCCTGCCGACTCCAAGGACATTGAAGCGCTTGAAGACACTAATGGTGGAGCTTGCACGCGTTGAAAACGTGAGCAAGGCCCTCCAAAAGGACGGTATCACGATGTTGGATGTCCGTGTCTGGTTCGACGGTCTAGTCGAAGCTGAGCCAAGCTTCAGTCACTACCTGGGTACGTTTAATTTTGTCATTGTGTTGTCTCACAATTAACAAACACTAACTATATATATATATATATATATTTAGACGCTCGAGCTGATATTGTTTACTCGCCGGACTTTGAGGCTGGATGCGTCAAGGTGCCCAATGGGGGAACTGCAGAGCTAAATTGCGCGGAAAAGGACATCCTACAGCCGGTAGCAGCGCTGATACCTCGCGCATGACAAACAACTCCGAAAATGAGCCGTTTGTCATGCAGCTCGAGCGCAAGCGAAAGCGCGCTCAGCAAGTTCAGGCGTATCACCTGCTAACCTCTGTACCTCCAACCTCGAATATGATGGAGAGGTTTTTCAGCCTTGCTCGGATCACGTTCGGCCACGAGCGACATCGTTTGAACCCGTACACATTAGAGATGATTCTCTTTCTACGTGTAAACACGACGTACTGGGACGTCCGCACTGTTGACAGTGCGATCTGATTCTACTCTCGAGCTCTGTCGTTTTAGCATGCAGTTTTAACAGGGCCATAATTCATTTTCAATTTTTTTCAATGCAAATAATTGATGTTACCTCCATTCGTACTGCAGTACCATAACTTATTTTCTTGTTCCCTCGTTGATTAAGTAAAATGCCGTATTCGGCATCCCTGCTGGAGACGCTGACGCAGAATAACATGCCATTGTCAACTTCGAATCAAATACACGTGCTGGTGATTGTGCCCGATCAGAGAGCACCACAAGTTGTATTACGAGGCCG